CCCCCAAAACCGAGCTCTGACGAAGAGCCAGCGCTGCTTAACGAGCCCCAAATATGAACCCCGAGAGCCGCTCGCTCTGCCGCCTTCTTAATTCCTCTTCCATTTCCTCTCCCTGTAAAACGGAGCTAATTATCGTTAATTATCGCCCGGGGGTGTCAGAGAGGCCAAAGGTCTGTAAATCATTTCCAGGAGGGCAAAGTCATCAGGAACCGGTGTTTAACCTTCAGTTTAAACTGAAGATGTTTATCTGGGAGGAGGAGGAAGAGGAGGAGCGGCTTCCCCGGGCGCCCTTAAGGGATAAACACCCCCGGGGTGTCAAATTGGGGACAAGGGAGGTGACGCCGCCAGGAAGAAGGGTGACATCGAGGCCAAAGGGCTTGGCTTTAGCGCGCCATCAGGAGTCCCGAGGAGGAGCATCTTGGCTGCGAATCGAGCCCCTTCCCTCTCCCACACCCAGGGAGAGGGGAAATATTTGGGGGGCAATCCGTAGAAATCGGGGGACCTGCTGGAGCCTTTCCCTAGAAGCTGACTCTTTTTTTTTTTTTTTTTTTTAAATTATTTTCATTTAAAATCCCTCTGTTTATCCAGGAAGTCCACGATCTGCTGAGCGACTACGAGCTGAAATACTGCTTTGTGGACAAATACAAAGGGACTGGTGAGTAAGCTGCTCTGGCGCGGAGCGGGCGGCTCCGGCGAACGCTCTCTCAGCACCGAATCCATCGCGGCGGTCGGGCTCAGCCCCCCCCTCCCCCGTCCCCGGTGCCGCCTTCGGTGGCTTTTCCGTTGCTGAGTGTTGTGTTGGGAAATGCAGCGCCTTATTCCGCAGTGATTCCTTGCTTGTTCCCCCCTCCCCGGCAGCGACAACACGCCGTCTCTCCCTCAGCCACGCTCACCGGACCCTTCCTGCGGTGATTAGCTCTTGGGGGGCAGAAAATTTAAGGGCTGTGGGGTTTGTTTATCCCTCCCTGGGAGATCCTGTGCGTCACAGTGTGGGGTTTGCGTTGCTTTTTCCAAACCCAGGGGGTTCAATCCAATCCCTCCTGGGGGGCTGCGCCCTCCGGTGTTATCTCCTCCCACCCCAAAACCAGTTCTTGGGG